GGGGAGTTGGACCCTCTTCGCCGCTACTCCTTGCCACGTGACGAAACTGACACCAATACGTGGAAGCGAGATCATGGTTCCGTGGTCGTCTAAGGTTTGACCCTGTAGAATATGTGACACAACGACCTTCGTACCATTGGTCAAACCGTGCTGTGTGTAGGCACTTGCTGTACAACTGCTGTACAGCACTGGTGCTGCTTCGACCATACGCACTCGTATGTCCTGACCGCAACTGCTGCTGACAAGACCTCCTCCAGTGTATATCTCCTGGACTGTGGGTCTCCCCGACGCGTCATGTAGTGAGGGCGCTACTGGAATGAATAATCATGGCATGACGTCTATACATGGTGGGCACGGTACTCACATATCCGCCAAAAGACTAAACCCAGTCACACAACAACAAACTCATATCCGCCAAGACTCCACCCAGTTCACAACAACAGCACAAAAACGTCATATTCTTCATTGATATTATACGTGCTCTATTCTGTTTTGAAGTTAATGGCGGCCGGCGGTCGACGACGTTCTGTGAGTAATATATTAGCATGATTCCCAAAGGGCAACATACGAGACTTGGCACGACAACTCTCATTGCCTCACCTTCCACTCCTGCTTCGTTTCTGTATCGGCGGAAGGGTAGAACAGGTTTGCGGAGATGAAATATGTGCCGATAAGTCAGATCCTCGAACATGACCACGTCCGAGTCCATGTGCAAGATGTAGTCTCCTTTCGTGTACAAGTCGGCCGTCAGCTGTGGGGTATCAAGCAACGGGATTCCCGTAAGGTCAGCAAATTCAACCGAGTGCGTAAGGCTCCAACTTCTCTTCGCGTCGATTGTTCATATCGTACCGTTATGCTACCCCTCCTCGCCGGAAATATGTCCGTCTCAAGCTCTGGCACAACACGATTCCAACGTCACGTGGAGTGATACATATTGTTCTCTGAGAGACGTGCCGCCAGTGATTGGGGTAGGGCTACGATGGAGTTCTCCATTTGTCGGCGCACGGCCCTGCAGATAGGCCTTCTTGGTGGTAGCGTCGTCGACTCTGAATCATTCTTCAAGCACGCATGCACGTTCGCGAGACTGGAAGCTTCAGAATTGTTGTTATGAGCACTGTCCCGAAAAAATGACTCCAGGATAAATAGAAGCATAACAATTGTTTTCATGTGGATGGGTCCCCAGTTGCTCATACCCCTAAGGCAAACCTCATACGTAAACACGAGGCACGACAAACATTACTCTACGTCATTATCCGCAACCCTTCTGCGTAGATATGTTGTTGTTATTGTCTTCACATTAATCATTGTTCCGTTCTCGCTGCCCAGTACCTCCTCTGTAGTACTAGTCCAACACTTGACGCGGTCGACTCCCATGTTCATAGGCAGATTTACCCCTAAACGAACACCGAACCAAAATGGACCCAAAAGCTCCGCAAGAAAAAAAATGTAACTTCAGATAGTCTAGGACACTCCGCTCGCCTCTACACGCTTTGCGAGGTACCCACAGACTATAAATTATAGAGAAAAACATAAGAAAACAAGAGAGCAGATGGGGGAAAGGGAAAAATAGAGAGAAATAATACAGAGAAAGACACATCCAGAACCAGACTGTAGCGACAAAGAATTCAATCAAACATAACATTACAAAACACAAAACAAGGTAACGCAAGGCGGGCCACCCGAGACAGCAAATAAACGCACGTCATCGTCCGTGGAGGGTTGGTGCAACGGTGCAGGATGCAGTAGATATGTATGGTAGTACAGGGAGTATCACTTTGGAGTACTTTTGCTGAATGTTGCCGTCCATTAGCTGTGGCTCCCCGACAACGCGAATGGGAAATGGTGCTGTGGCCCGGAGAGGCTTGACAATACCCTCGAAGAGCGCCACGTCAGCTTCCACTACGACGGCCACCACTTCCAAAGCGCTTGGAAAGCGCTCAATGACCGTAGCAATTGACATGTTAAACAGTCTCGCATCTCCAGAGAACGTCCGGTACATCACAGAGACGTTGCAGCCCGCCAGTTCCGGCACAGGCACGTTTGCTCCCTCCGCCCCGAATTCCCAGTCAACCTTGACTTCCAAGTCTGAGGCCTTAACCGATTAAAACCCGAGCTCACATTTCCCCCCCCGCTTGAAAGCCTCGAGCTCATTGGCGATAAAGTCGCCCACGCGATACCCCATCAGGCTTAGAGCCGTATCGAAGGAGCAGCCAAAACGAGGCTTCACCAAGGGAATGTCCCAGATGGAAGGAACCGAAAAAAGGTTCTCCCGGCTCCACGCACGAATATTGACGAATGCACCTCCTCTGGCATTTGGAGGTACGCCGAGGCCGCGAGCACCTGTCACGAGGTGGACCACCGAATGCAGCGGAATTGGAGTGACCAACTGTCATGGCTTATCATCACTCCACCGTGCGCCCCAGAGGTTTGATTGCGACCGTATCATGACGAACGAACACGATGAAGGTGGAAAAATGCCGACACAACCGACATATGGGTTATATGTGAAACACACCCACGGCCAACTCTAGTTGGAATGCGCTGCAAGGCATGAAGGCTGCATCGTAGAAAATACGGTGATTTATCGACAGGTGCACGGAGAACAACGAGCAAGGCAATGCCTGTCCGTTCCAAACAGATTCCATTCGTATTTCGCGTAGTTGCGTGCCAGTGCTTCTTGTATAGCTTTCGCTTTGCGGTTTTTCAGGGAGGGAGATACCAGCGTTGACCATTGTGTTGGTACGAAGTGCAGTACACATATTCCAAGTGCGCGTTCGAACCATTGACACCATTGCTGCACCAAATATCCAAATCAACACCATCGCGTGTATAGAATGCTTTTCACCACGTCGTCCATGCAAGCCGTACCTCCGGGACGTAAATCGATGTTGATTCTCTGTGACGGTCGGCCACCGACGCTAGGTAAGCGTAGAGGTCCTCCACTTCAAGTTCAGCGCCGTGGAGACCAGCTTCAAGTCTCCTCCCTTGGCGTGTTTTCGTGCCCAACAACGCCCGAAGTTGTCCGTTTGTTTCAGCGGGAAGAATTAGATCACATCCGTGTGTAAATGTCGGCGCAGGGAACTCTAAAAGAACGGTGCTGCCCATCGCGCGTCGTACATTCTCTGGGTCGACGTCGCGTGCGTCGGCGAAGGACATGATCAACTCTTGCCGAGCCGTGTGTGTGTCCTTGAGTGTGAAGGTACGGCTGAGGACCTGCCCGACTTCCATGTAATAGATCAACCTTGTTCCGTTGCCACAAAGCTGGTCTGCCATTAGAGGGCCATACTCTACGCTCGAGAATTTCCGATCGATACGTCTTGCAGATGGCCGAAGCTCCTGTGGGTCCAACACAGGTGTATATCGTGACGAAGGGACAACGGTGCAACACGTGAGCATTGGCCAAGTGACACAAAANTAATAGATCAACCTTGTTCCGTTGCCACAAAGCTGGTCTGCCATTAGAGGGCCATACTCTACGCTCGAGAATTTCCGATCGATACGTCTTGCAGATGGCCGAAGCTCCTGTGGGTCCAACACAGGTGTATATCGTGACGAAGGGACAACGGTGCAACACGTGAGCATTGGCCAAGTGACACAAAACATTCGCGGCCACACTACATGAACAAAGATATTCAGGTCGTGATGGCACCGATTGATGTAGGGTGTAATCGTGTGATAAAGTATTTTGACACCATAAGCCGGGACAAGCAAACATTGGGAAGAACAACATTTCTCCAATCGAGCTCAACAACGATTTTCGACCAACACCGCCGTTGGAGATTCTGCAGCAGTAGCGTTGCGGTGAATGCATTCAACTCGTTCAGCTCGAAATAGGTTTCAGAGCCATCGACGCTGGTTTTCATTAAGAATGCGCTCTTGATCCCCGGAGGGGGGGCTGGGGGGGTGTACTCATAGTCGTGCATGCCGTAGTCGTTAGACCATTGACCTTCCATCCCTACAAAGCCGGGACGGAGAACGCCGGGTTCTCACCGGACCAGGCTCGCACATCACCAACCGCGAAGCGCCGTGACGTATTCGGCAAGTCACATGAAGGGTGCGCTGCATCCTGCTAAGGGTGTTCGGCATCTTGTGCTTACTTCCTTGCGTACGGATGACAGCTGCGTATGACNTCTCACCGGACCAGGCTCGCACATCACCAACCGCGAAGCGCCGTGACGTATTCGGCAAGTAGCATGAAGGGTGCGCTGCATCCTGCTAAGGGTGTTCGGCATCTTGTGCTTACTTCCTTGCGTACGGATGACAGTTGCGTATGACTTAATTTATTTTCTGGTGCTTTCACTTCTAGAGACAGTTGAAAGCACCGTGTAACTGCCTCGAGGATGCGTGAACATTTTAACACGACGTGTTGCGATCCTTCCCCTTGCGCGGAGTGAGGGTTCTCCACCCCGCACAACATGATCTACTCGACCACCTTTATGGTTACCGCCAAAAAAAACAGTGGTCAATAACAAAAACACCGTAACCTGATTGCCGAGTTCACGAAGTGAAATGGTTTGTTTTACAACGTCGTTGCCAAGCGACGAAGTTCAACCCCAATGGGCGGAGGGGGGGTTCATCCCTGGGGGGTATATTCTGCATGAAAGCCCGAACCAAAGAGGGGAATGAACCAACAACCGATTGATTGGGAAACTCGTTCGGCGGTCCGATTTGGCTTGGGGCTAGGGTTACACCTCATGGAAAGGGCGAAGGACTCTGACCTGTTGAACACATGGAAGTCTCTTGGATGCGCTACAATCGCCACGCGCATCGCCGGCATGAATTCCAGAACGCTGCGCACTGAGTTATCGTCTCAGACAAGAATTCGAAGTAGCCACGCATGAACGCGCACATTTGACCACGCATGCCGCTGGAGAGAACCGTGGGGACAGGATCGTTACTAGTACCGTTTGTCTTCCAACCGATTGGATCGTCACTCTCCGGGATGGAGGAAGCAAGTCTGCCATCCCCAGATTTGTTTCTCCTTGCCTCCGCTTCAGACCCAATAGAACGTGGGGGCTCAAGGGTGTTGCATAGGATCACCCGTCCACCCTGAGCTTTTATGGCTTCATCAGCAATATAAGCTGCTGAATCATCGTAGGAGCACAGACGACACGTCTTTCCAAGACCTCTCCAGTTGCAGTGAAGATCGCCGTAGAGCCCACTTCCACAACGATAGTCACATACCTGTTGAGGCGGATGTGACACGAATATGGCAACGGGTATTCGTGCGAAAGTCGCGGCAGGTGGATTGCACTATTCCCGATACATTCCGTGCGTACTTGTTTTTCCTCAAGAGCAACGTCAAACATCCTCCGTGGTTTCCTGACTACAGTACCACCACCGACGCTCTTCACAAATATTTGCCTGACGCTACAGCAGTTCCTCGCGCCGCTAAGCATGTGGTCATGCGGAGACCGGGCTAGGTTTCCCATTGAAAAAACAACGACAGACGGGATCCGGATGCCGTTGGTCGCACGCGGACTTGTTTTAGCGACGCTGTAAATTGGCATGACACAAAATGAAAAATCACGTGTTTGTCCAAGACGGAATAACTGACAATAACTTATTAGTGAGCTTGCTACCTACACACGTATGCCTCGCCGTAGGTCATTGCGAGTGTGCGCACGACAGAGGGCCACGGAGAACGCGTCAGCAAGTCGGAGGACTGCGGCGCCCGACATCATTTAGGCACAGAGGGTATAGCGTCCACCAGGATCGACACTGTAAAGCATATATTATGACATGTGAACTCAAGGTCTCAAAGTATACGCGCACACCTAGACTTCCTCGAATGAACGCGCGGCGCCCACGAAAGTGCCGTACAACTAATATCTCATGAGAGTCATTTGAAAGTCAAAACGTTACGTGAGGTTGTACTACAAGAACAATATAGAAGAACAATGATTATATTCTAAACATCAAATGCACCCGTCCTTCATGAGTAGCACGAGCGACGACGCAGCTCACCGTGTCGATGGTGTTCTCGCACCCAGCAGAGCAGCTTGGACCTGAGGGTGGGTTCCTCGTGCCGCACATGACGACATGGGCATCCGACGCCAAGGTATCTACGGAGGACAACGCAAGCATGCTTTCTGCGGTCGAGGCCTCCTCACTGTTGGTGTAGCAAAGCCGATAGTTGCTGCCATACTGTGAAGCGTTACCTGCGCCACAGTTGTGACCCCCGAAACGTGGTCCTGTCGATGACCATTCCACAGAGCAGCTTTCGTCCCAGATTGTAGAGATACCTGCCGAATTCCCGGCGGAGGTTCTTGAACCACAATCATCAGTGCAGTTGCTGCTGCTGTGACGTGGTCTATGCGCATGCTTCACGGGGAGAGACGCGACACTCCCACCACTGAGCGTGCTGCCATGGATGAACAACGTGTCTTGTGAAACCGCTTTTTCCACGTGCTTGTCGTTGATGTCGAAAA